TATTTACCCATAGAGCAAACTAACCCAAGCCAAACACACAGTAGGTATTCATAGATGTTTGTTGAAATGGTACAGATTTATCTATTAAAATTACAGGATAGGGGCTGGGCACAGGAGGCTCATGCCTGTAATCCTAGCTACTCAAGAGGCTGAGATTTAAGGATTGTGGTTCAAAGCCAGCCCTGGCAGGAAAGTCCATGAGACTCTCATCTCCAATAAACTACCAAAAATCTGGAAGTGGTGCTGTGGCTCAAGTGGTAGAGCACTTGCTTTGGGCTGAAGAACTGAGGGATAGTGCCCAGGCCCGGAATTCAAGTCCCCTGACATAAACACACACACAGACACACACACACACACACACACACACCAAAATACAAAACAAAAAATAAAAACAGGATAGGGCCTGGGAAGGTGGCTTAATTGCTGAGTGCTTGCCTAGCATTCATGAGGCCCAGGGTTCAATTCCTCAGTAACACATAAACACAGAAATAATAATAACTTGACTTGAAATTACTTTTAAAAAATAATAGGATCAACAAGCATTTTAAAATATAATTTACAAACATGTGCTTTCCATGATCATTTGAGATGATAGGGTTTTTTAATCAAATCCTTTGATATGTTGTACCAAACTATTGTTTCAACATCTGTAAATATAAAAAGGCATAAGAGGGGCTCCCTCAAATTGTAGAGCATTGGCTAGCAAGTGCAAGACTGGTAATCCAAACCTACATACTGTAAAAATACAAAAATGAACGTAAAAAATAAATAAGTCTGTTAGGCTATGCATCCACATCAATTATTAACTAACCAACTTATCAAAAATATTGAAACAATTGTTGTCCCATTCCTGTTGAGTGACTAGTAACATTTCATTGTTATTTTAATTTCACTTTATTGACAAACAAGTAATAAACAAAAGCGTTGTTATACTTCATGTGCTTTTCCAACATCATTATGACCACTGTTCTTCTGGTATATGTTGTGCTATTTATAAATTCTATGTTAATGAACTCAAGGGAAGGCAACACCACTATTAGTAATAACTTTTTATTCGGAGTCCTCATTTTCCAGATAGGTCACATTAAACACAGCCATTAAACAAGAGCATTGAGATAAATCCATACAATGTATGCTGCTTTTGTTGTTATTGTCCTTGTTCACCAATCACTTGGTAGAACTAAGAACATTATGGAGTGATGACATTGGTAAATGGGAATAGCTAACCTGTAAAACACTGGGACCAGGGAAGTCAGACTTTAATCAGTTCTCATTCAATTATGCTTCGAATCTACAAATCTTGATAGCCAAAATTCTCATTTGAATTAATGCTCTGATAAGTGCTGTCTGTTGTCAAAAGAATGTAATTAGACAATAATGAGTGGGCATATATTATGCCAGACCTCAGTGTATTTGTTGACCTCAGCAACTTCTATTCCATTAGACAACAAACAGCTTTTACCTGGTTCTAATAAAACATACTGCATTATTCCTAGATGACTTTTTTTGATGGTGCCATTTTTTAAAATCGAGTAGGGTCTAGATCCTTTAAAGTGAAGTCATGATTTACAAGATCTCAGACAATTTGCAACGGGGGGGGGGGGGGGGGGGGAGAAGGGGAGGAAGTCAATTTCCCAACTAGAGTTTCAATTAATTTATAGACTAGGGAGTCACTTTTTGAATGTTGCCTGCAGTAAGGGTAAGTGTGTAAGGTTTGGAAACAACATGAAAATATTCCTTGAAATTACATATGATATGTCTCTTTAATGTTTACTTTGGTATAGTATAACTAACACTGATTCTTACTATTTTAGTGATAAAAAATTTATTCATCTGAATATCTCATTAAAAGATTACTTTATTATTGATGTTTTAAAAAGTTGTAGTTCATCAGTAAGACAGTTTTAGAACTTTCATTTTCTTATTACTAAGATGCTCATAAACAAATTTATTTTCTGTGCTTAACTTCAGTTATGCAAGGACCTAAAGGGGGATGGGTAAATAGAAACAAAAAGAAAAAGTAGTACCAAACTTTTCATTTTGAGTATTTGGGATTTTCTTGAGGGTTAGTGTTTGAAAAATGTACATTAGAACTTTTTTTAAGCATTCTAAATTATGCTGAAACCTCTTCAGATCTCAATGATTATGCATTACCCATTAGAGGAAAGGATCCCCAAAAGTGGAATTTTGGCATCTCATAGGCTTTCTTGGAAGCCAAGCACCAGAGGTCTGTGATAAAGATAGTTGCCAGGGAACGAATGAAAGCATGATTCCCTCAACTACAAAAGCTTAGAGTCCCAATTGCTGAATTACCACCAACTTGTAAATAAATAATCATTACTAAATACAGAGAATGTGATAAATAGCTAATGCTAGGAAATCACTGGTGATAGAGAGCCTGAAGGTAAGTCCCTCCTACATTGGCACAACTGATTAGAATCTTCTGGTGTTTCAAAGTCTTCAGACACATATAACAAATTAAACAACTGGCTACTTTGTATTAAGCATGTTTTAAAAATAAACCATACTCTATTGATCTCATTTATATCCTGCTTTAGATCTTACTAAGTGATTATGTGTCTAGTAAGAGAGAGGCAACACTTGGTAAAACTAAATAGAAATCAATTTGCCATCATACTTCAACTATCAATCTAAAGCAACCTGTAGTCTCTTGGCAAACTGAAAAAAAAAAAGCCGACAACATCATGTAACAGAAAACAAATTTCAGATACATAAATTGTCCAAAATATAGTCAATTTTCACATGTACAAGTTCCCTTCTTTTCTAATTTAAACATTGATTAATAAAAACAAGGAGTAGAGCTTTGGAAAGTCTGTTAATAGGAACCAAACACAGTTCTCAAGAGAATAAGGCTGATAAGAGTTATCCACTCTTTCCCCCCAAAGCTATTTACGAACGAGGTACAGTCCAAAATCTTGATATCATTTGATGGAAATATTTTCAGTAAAACTTTTTGAGTTTCAAATTATAAAAACTTAATTTAATTCAATGTTTGGTTTTGCTTTTGTTTTGAGTATAAGGACGTTATGAAATTTATACTGTTTCTACACTGGCTTGATGGCCAGGAAAGAAGGCACAGAATTCTCCACCAGTTTGCAAATAAGACATTTTTTTTCTGCTCCAGTGCACAAACAGCCTTTATTTAACTCAGCACCACATTTTCTATGATATGGGCTCAAAACTGTTTGCCATGAAGCTGTTATATGCCAAAAAAAAAAAAAAATGCTGAAGGAAAATGTCAATCAAGGCATTTTCCCATCTGCTACAACTTCTGAAAGTGTTAATTTGACTTTATTTTCCCCAATTCCTGAAATTAAAGGTTTCTTAGCCTCAAATGGAAGTACGTTTGAAACTTGGTAAATGTCATAAGAAAAAGTACAACCAAAGAATGGAAGAAAAAGTGTATTGTTCTTACAGGACACCAATAAAAAGAAGTGGAGGGACACTGTAATACGGAAAACAGATTTTTGTTAAGACCCAGATGTCTTGAAATACACTACACACTGCAAATAACCAGTGCTGGTACCAAACATGCATTAAAGCAATTGTCATGTTTTTCTTTCTTTCTTTTTTTTTTTTTTTGAAATAGAATGGAGACACACATCTGAACCACTGAAGATACTTTTGAGAACCAACTAATGATAGGCTATCTACATAGGCAGAAACTGTATGTTATCAAATATGACATGATAAAGTTTCAGGTATTGGTACAAATGTAATTCTTGTGATTTAGCATGACTTTAATAAAAGCTTCTACAAGGACTTGCACAGAAACATGACTGACAGATGTAATTTTTTGACCTTTCAGTTAGCTCCATCAGCTCACTCAAACACATTCTGAACAGATTATTTACTGTAGTACTTGGTAGACTATACATTAAACGAGAGACTTTGCTCTGAGGCACTGCTTCCCACACTCCATGGGGACAAGGAAGCAGGGAAAAACAAAACTCATAGAGTTCGACAGCTACCGAGGCAACACTTGCCATTTACAATATAAGCCCAAATATTTTTGCAACACAACTATATATTAATTTAATAAAATACACAATATAGCTCTTATACACTCAACAATTTGGCTCATATGCACGGAATCTGCAATAAATCAATAAAAAATATGTCATTTGATGTAAACACATTGAATCTTCTTACATTTGCACATTTAAATGGTCATATGATTTGTGTATGTCTAAGACATTTTCACTTTCCTGAGCTCTTTTAGTGTCCACAAATGAATAAAGCATAATCATCATGTTGATTCTCTCTGAATATTTGCCACTCAATGTTAACCATTTTTTCAGGATGTTTTTCTAAGTCAAATTTAAAACAAACCTATCATGGTTTATCTTTGTTGGACACTAAAATGCTCACTAGGCATTTTTAATTTTCTCCTTTATTTTATTTTACCTTGTCCTAAATTTTCTTCTTTTTAATGAAGTGAATTAGTCTACATGTGTGCTGGACAAAATGGACTATATCTCTTTTTACATTTATCTTTATACGACATGAGGTGTCTTACAAATGACCAGGGAAGGAATTTTTTTTGTTTTTTTTGTTTTTGTTTTTGCTTTTTTGTATTGTTTGTTTTTGACTAATGATACGGAATGCTCTTTGTGTTTATATGTGTGGCAGGTAACTTTATACAGAAATGTTTACCACAACTATGTATTAATGTTTGGTGTAGCTTGGACTACTGCAAGGTCTTTTTCGGACTTTCAGTAGAAGCCTGTGATGGTTGCTAGAAATCCACCACAGATCACAAATTATGACCCTGCTGTTTTTTGTTTGTTTGTTTTTTATGGGATTAATAGGTAAACAGATATGTCAGCATAAATCACAGAGGACAGTCTTAGAGTGATGAGAAATACTTCAGTTCACACCAGTGCAAACCTTCCTAACAGATTGTCAAAAGGTTTTACACGTCTCCTCATCCTCCTCTTTCTTTTCTCTTCATTTTCTTCTCTCTCTCTTTTTCTTTCCTCATTAAGCATCATTCATTCTGTCCTAAATATAAGTTTTGTCAAAATGAAACCATTGTTATTTCTGAAAAAAGAAACAGCAGTGAAACGAACATACTTGTGGGCACCTCAGATGTTCACTAAAAGCCTGAAGCAGCATTGGTCTTCGTCCATCCCTTATAAAAGGGGTTGTCACCAGGAGCGATCACTTTTATTTATTTATTTATTTTTAACTCAACAGAAGAGACAAGAAATTGCCAATGCTTGCTTGCTTGCTTGCTTTCCTCATTTTCTCACAGCGACTGGGTCATTCCCTCGGCAGTCCTGCAAAAGCTTATCAATTTCTCTCACAACTTCCTCTGCATCCACAGACTCTCTGCCCAGATCCCTGTTGGGGTGATCAGGTTGCTCCAGGACAGGACCCATCTCTCCAGAATCCCGGCTGGTTCTGGAATGCACATCTGCGAAGACTCTTGCCATCTGGTCGGAAGCCATGAAGGGAGGGTCTCTCGGTTGCTTACTAGGAGACAGGTATTGACTGTCATTGGGCAAGTACTGACTGCTTGCTTCGGCCAGGGCTCCGGGTTTTGCTTCACAACCATCCAGGGAGCCTTTGGTTGCGGTGCAAGGCTCGATGCATGCCTTGGTTGGACTGCTGGAAGCGGAAGGGACCTCCTGGAGGAGAGGGCTCAGGGCACGTTTGGCTTTTAAATAAGGTTTGACATTGGCAATGAGAATAGTGTGCTCTCGCTTGTCTTTTCCAAATGTACAAAAAGTCTTTTTCCCAGTGGGATTCACAGTTTCGTAAGTCTCAGTCTCAACATTAGCTTCCACTGTGGGTACAAAGAGATTTGTGCGGTAATCTGCATTTTCAGCCTGATTGGCTGCAGGGAACTGGGGCATCCAACACCTATCAGAATGACCAAGCACTCGGCATTCATCTGTGCAATTAACGCACTCTTCCGGCTCTGTAAAAACAAAAGAGAAGACAGCAAATCCAATCATTAGGGTTTCCTTTCGATTTCTACTACAGCAATGCTCAGCACTCTGTTGGCTTGCTTGACCTCTGGTCTCTTAATTAAAAAGAAAAAGAAAACAATAATTAAAACATTTCAGGATGGTTGCATAAACCTGCTAGTTGAGACAATGGTTTTATTTAAGGCTATTCTCTAGATATTAACGAATTCCCATAGCCTGGGGAAAAGAAAAAAAAAAAAGTGGCCATTGGAGAATCAGGCTCCAGAGAATACAGCAGCACTTAATCCAATCTCCTGGGGCGATCAGTCTTTGTTCTGTATAACCCATCCTAGAAACAGTGAACTTCAAAAAGGATTATCAGGATTAATTTTTCAAATCTAGTAACTGGGCAAAACGTGGATTGCACACTTCCATAACAAGTCCTAAGCTGCTTTCAGAGAAGTGTTTTATCCTTATTTTACCTATAATTTTTATTTTGGTGATAGTCATGAAATAAAAGATTTCCTTTCAAAACCTGCTTTTCCTACTGCGAGTGGCAAATGGAATTTTCTATCAGAGTGTTTTATGAAGAAGCTTGTCAAAAAGCATTCATTTAAAAAAAAACAAAACAACTTGATATGCTTACGGATCAGGTATTCTGTTTTCTTCACCTTTTTGAGGTTTTCTTTTTTTTTGTTGGTTGGAAGTAGGTGAAAATGGATTTACTCAATGAGTAACATACAGGATTAATGCCAAATGATCACTTCCTGTTTAAATAATAATTCTTTCCGTGAGAATTTTTCGATCTTTTGCTGATTGACATATGAAGCACCTATTTAAAACACACTTTAATGATCCTGTTTTAAAGATTCTGATCCAGGAAATATAAAAGCAATTCCTTCATTCTAACAACTGGGGTGTAGTTCCACTGACCTCAATATTTTTAAATATTATTTTGAATGACACTTTTCTACTTGTCCCTTTCCTCTACAGATGGTGCTTTCCATTATGTTTAATGATCCATTTTTTACTTTCAGGAGAGGATATTTACAATTTACCTCCATGTGATGGGGATAAGAATTCCCTGCACATTTAACATCCACCAGGAATATCTTTTAATTGATGCTAGATAATCCCTACAAATATATGATGTCCTGTGCATGGTAGGAAAAAAATGCCTGCATTGAAAATATTTTGAATAGAAAATAATCCATTTTAATAGTAGCCTTAAATTCACAGTTTCTACTTTTCCAAGTGACATATAATTTCTAAGTTTACATTTGACGCCTATAAACAAATCACCAAACACATCCACAGACAATTCATCTCAAAAAGACTAAGCAATGAAATGATTTCCTAGAAGACCCAAGTGTGGGATCAAGTATCAGAATAGCATCCTGACAGGATCAAAATACTGTGGTATTTCCTACATGTAGGATTCACACTTGTGAAATACTAAAATAAAAGTAGATTATATCTATTTTATTTTGTAATGTTTTAAAGAGTAAATAAAATGTTTATTGCTGAACAAAATTGCTGAACTAATTCTCAAGCTGAATTCTAGATCGTAGGCTCATTCATACATGATCAATGACTTGAAAAGCTATTAGAAGGACATGAATCCAAAATCTTGATGACCCTAGTCTAGACATATACTACCTTCTGAGAAGCATTCTTTTATATTTAGAGTTGAGATTAATTTAAATAAAAACAGAAAGATGTTAGAAATAATCAGTATCAACTATTGTTTTTCTTGATTCCAAATGAGAATGATTTACATTGCCTTTATATCTATTAGTGAATATTTCAAACAATTATATCACTTAATCTAACCTATTTTTTTTACCCTTCAAAAACACAACTTTACAGACGGCTTCATTTGTTAGTATTTTTGTACATTTTAAAGTGAGAGGTATTTTCATAAATTCATTTATAACCAAGGCACTCTTTTGAAATAAGCCAATATAGTTTTGTATTCTAATATTGACTGGTCTTCCATTTTGGGCGTTTGGGTAGTCAATGCTGAATGAATTCAAGAAGAGGGGCAGAGATAGAGAGAGACTAATGCAGAGGTAAGAAAATGTAAATCGACCTTGAATTTGAAACTACCAACATAAAATGATTGTTGGCACTTCAGGGCTGAAAATCCGAAGCTTTTTACTTGACTCCTTTATGTCACATCCAGCGGAACAAATTTTGAGCATTGATTATGGTACATTATAATCTGTACACCTTGTGATTAGATTGTAATTTTGATGCCAGCAGTTCACAGACATTGAAGAAAATCGAATGTACATTTTTGTATAAACAGCAGAAACTATGAGTACAAAACAAACTATAACTGCCAAGAGTCAAGTTGGAGTTTATGAGAGTAGAATCATTTCTGAAAGAACATGAATAAATAGATAAGTAGGTAGATTTAAAAAAAAGAGAGAGGGCTGGGAAGGTGGCTCAGTGGTAGAGCGCTTGCCTTGCATGCCTGAGGCCCTGGGTTCGATTCCTCAGCACCACATAAGCAAAAAGAAAAAAGCCAGAAGTGGTGCTGTGGCTCAAGTGGTAGAGTGCTAGCCTTGAGCTGAAGAGCTGAGGGACAGCGCCCAGGCCCAGAGTTCAGGCCCCACAACCGGACCCCCCTAAAAAAGAGAGAGACAGATAACATAAAGTAAATTACTAGCTAGACACAGAAATAAATTGGGGTGAAATAATGGAAAATGATAGAAGAAAGGAAGTAGGGAAAAGCTAAAGAGAAAGAAAAGTAGAGAAAGAGTAAAGTAAGGTAAATGGGATACAGGGAAGAGAAGCAAAGAAAGAATCAAGTCTGAAGGAAAAGTTGCCCATACACACACACACACACACACACACACACACACACACCATTTCAAACAAGACAATTAGGCTAGAAATAATTTGGCCATATGTACCTCTTATTATATATTTTAGGTCCTCCCAGAAAACTAAATATATATAATAAAGAATAGCAATATAGGAACATAATAAAGAATAGCAATATAGGAAAATAATAATATAGCATACTTTCTCTCAAACCTTACATCTATAAAGATAGATACTCAAATTGTTATTCAAAGAGACAGATTAGATAATAAACATGTGTAATTACAAAAACTACAGGAATCATTTTTAAAAGCCTGTTATATAGATTGCCATTAATTGAAAAAGTTTTAGTATTTATGTTAGAAAGCCATTTAAAAACCTGAGAACAAATTAAAACAGAAATAATAGATTTAATATTTATTTTTGGTTTTCCTTTGTATTTTGGTCAAATGTGAGATCCTTTCCCTCAATTTGTAATATGGAATGTATAATCCAAATAGTAATCAGGTAAGTGAAACAGAACTAAGTATGGATGTCTCATGAAGAAAAGACAAAACAAAACAAAACAATTATTGAGTCTAACTGACAGAACTTTGGGCATTTTTTTTCTATAGGTAAAGTTCACAGTATCTGATCTCTTCAATGTATAATTCCCAAAAATAACATGAGATAATCACATAATTTTAATGTCTTCCAGTATTTTTTTTTCAGTGCTAATCCTGAGGATCTAACTCTGGGTCTGAGTGCTGTCCTTCAGCTCTTCAAGACTAGTGCTCTATCACTTGAGCCACAGTGCCATTTCCCACTTTTTTTCTGCTTATTTGGTGCTGAGGAATCAAACCCAGGGCCTCATGCATACAAAGCAAACATTCTACCACTGAGCCAACTTCCTATTCCCTGTCTATAAGCTCTTATACTAAAGGCTCTACTATGTGAGCCACAGCCCTATTTCTAGCTTTATGACAGTCAATTGGAGTTTGGAGTCTCATGAATATTCTTGCTCAGGCTTGTTTTGAATCCTAATCCTCAGACCTCAGCATTCCAAGTAGCCAGGATTAAAGGTGTGACTCACTGGCACTGGCTTTGTCTAATTTCAGTATAAGGATTCATTTTCAGTTTGGTGGTACTGTGCATCTATTATATTGGAACTCATGGAGGCTAAGACAAGAGTATCACAAGTACAAGGCCAGATTGGGCTATGAAGTGTATTTCTGTCTTCAAACATAAATAAATAAATAATGTAAAAGTCATTTTCTATGCTCCTATTGTCTTACTATCACATTCTTTGAAAGGGCAGTATTTACAGTAACCATAGTTCAGTTTTGTATCTTAATTTATATAATACTTTTGCAAAAGATGTTATATAATCCTAGTAACTGCAGAATGTGTAGTTTTTGCTTTTTGACTGAATCAGAACTCTGCCTGTGTGTAGATCTTCATTTGTATGATTTAATAAAATTAAGCTTTGTCTAGACATGGTCTATTTTTTAAGATTTATAACCAAAAATTCCTGAACATTAATATAAGGAACTTTAATTAAAAAATGCAAGTGAATAGGAAAGTATTCTCTCTTTATGTAAGAGATAACATAATAGGATAGTTCTGATTTTTTTGAGCAAATACATTATATATATTTGTTAATATATTGACAAAATTATTGTATATAAATATATATGTGTATGTATAGATATTTTGGATTAAAATCAATAAAACAGGCATGGTGATATATGCCTATGATATCAGTATTCTAGAATGAGGGAGAAAGATTGTTATTTCAGTGCTTTGCCTGGACTACATAGCAAGACCTTATCTCTAAAAATTAAAGCAAAATAAAGAGTGACATTTTCCCCTGTGTTCCACAGCAATAGATGTAAAATCTGATCAGCTCAAAAGCATTTCAAATTTAGTTTATCATATTATTAAAACATCTAGGTGTTGGTAGCTCACACTTGACCTAACTACTCAGGAGGAAGAAGCATGGATGATTATGGGTGGAGGCCACTTGTGGCAGAAAGGTTTACTCAAACTCCCCATCTCCAAAATAACCAGCAAGTAATGGCTGGGAGCATAGCACCAGTGGTAAAATACCAACCAAGTTTAAACTCTAGTAACACCATCAAAACAAAACAAAAAATAATAATCCAAACCAATTAGCTGTTCTTTAGCATTCTGCTGCAGG